TTGGTATTTTCTAAATTTTCCGTATCCATTTCCGCTTGTCGTTTAGATTCCTCCCTTTCACGTCGTAAACGCTTAACAATTGCATCTTGTGCTTTCTCTAAAGAATCCCAAACCATAAGTGTTTCATTTACAAGTACCTTCTTGTTCTCGTTTTCTTTTGCTCATTATATATTTCTTCAGTTTCTGGTACATTGCTTGGTTAAGCTTATGTCTTTCTATGTTAACAGTGTTCGGCATTTTTAGAGCAACCTTGGGTTTCAATAATGGCGGGTCGAGACGAACACAACCTGACGGTCCAACATTGTACAAGTGTCTCTGTAGTTGCAGGCGATCATTTCATTATAATAAATATGCGGCAACTAACTTTATTTTGCATTTTCAATTTCATAATTTACTCATACCCATTTATTTTGTCAGTGATGAGTCGATGCTACCATTTTACTAGTTATTTTAGTACAGCCAAGACCTATTGTATAAAAGTGATTACATGAGTCTGACGATGCAACACCGTCTTTAAAGTGGACCAGATGTACCTCAGTTACCATGTTCACATCGCCGAGGAAATGGTTTCAATTTCGTCCTATAGATTGGCAAGTTTGAAGCATTATACGGCATATAAATGCTAACATATAATGTTTGGAAAGGACAAAAAGGTTGGCGGCATTTTTTAAGTTACTGAAAAACAACAACCTAAAACCAACTTCAGGAAAATATTTCGCTAATGGCTACAACATTATAAAGACTATCTGGTACCGAATGATGGACAAGTAACATAATTCTGTAGTGTGTAGCCTGGCAGTCTGTAATGCAGATAGTGATAAAAACCGTTTGGGCTGATACTATATATCAACAAAAGAATCTTCAGAGCGCAAACAATATACTTTTCAAGGTCACATTCTCTGGTTTGATCATTAGGCTCATTGGAAAAGAACATTGAACTCCAGAAGAAGACTGAGATACTTTTAAAGATGTGATTTTTATGGAATGTTTCAAGATATGTTGTGCTCGACCGGAGGCCAGTGCTCATAAGTAAATGGCGCTTTGTCATCATGAAAGTCTATGACTAGTTGAGTTTAATGACGAGGTCTGAAAATAGTTGAAAATGTTTTGAGGTAGCCTTGAAGATAAGCTGAGACTCACTGACCTGTGTTACCGTAGGTTAAGTGGTCTAATACTGACCTAGCATGTTTCGAATAGTGAATAATGCATTAAAGTCTTACCTTTTTCTTCCATTTAGGACAAATTTTTTTAGAATCTAGTTCAATAAAGTTGAATAACTCTAATAAGGTGGTCTAGTTCTGGAGCTTGTTATCTCAACTTGAGCCGTGAATTGCTGTAAATTACTGTCATAAAACACAGTATCAGTACCCTTTGCTGAACACTCGAGGAAGATTGGATTTTAAGGGCGCTAAAATTCACAATAATACAACGTATGTAACTGCATTTCAAATCCTTTCCTATGAAGAGGAAATATTGCTTGGAATGAGCATTGACGTCCCGATGTAAATAGTCTTCCTCAAAAACTTGTTGCATGTTTACTGTATGAAAAAGTGAAGATCTGATAAAGGGTTGAAACTATGATTACATGCCGGCGAAAATGACCACAGTATTCTAATTTTTCAAGCGATTTTCGAATCTAAAGCATCCAACATGGGGCTTACTAAGCAAGAGTTCGGAGATACGTAAACAAATAGACTCTGTCAGGTTGTATGTATTCATGAGAACAAAAACTTGAAGGAACCAGTCTTTAGACAAATGGGGGACTTGATTTCGAAAAATTCTTTTTAGTAAGGGCTGACAGAACCAAGGGACTTAGAGTGAATGCAGCTCCGCCTATTATAAAAAATATCCAATTTACAATTCGTGGTGGCATATTCTTTTAAAGTGTAATGTTAGTTGCCGCAAAAACCCTTTATGAGTTCTGTCTCCAAAACTCTTACGAGACGCTATACTGAAAACTATCGCCCTGTAAACCCAGACAGCATTTTTGTTATGATACTAAAAGAGATTATTCGAAAAGGAAGCATTGAAGAATCCAGAAGAAAATTTGATTCCTTCTGAAAAGCAGGCCTTTGGCAAAGTCTCACACAACAAGCTTATATCCAGGTGAAATGACATCGGAGTTAGAAGTTGTAAGATCCAAACTGAGGTTTGGCTGAAGAATAACTGTCTGGGTAGTTTAGACACGCGATATTGCCCAGTTGAAATCAAAACAAGGTGATTGGGGAAGCAAAAGTTCTAAATTTTATCATAAATACAAATGTAACATTTTACCTAAACAAATGTTATAACTGAGTTATTCAACCAATAATTGTTCCCACAATAATCGATCTAAATTACAATAAATGGACAAAATGATAAGGAGTATAAGAAAATTACCGAATGCACCAAAATATAAGTGTAATTATATCTTTTCTGGATAGATCACGTAAAAATCCGTTCAGAAGATAATAGTTTGTAGCTTCATAACACAAAATGTTTCCAATTCTGTATAAGTGCTTCAATTCACAATCAAAATGCACGATCCCTATCAAATCAAGCAACACGGTCCAAGAGGGAACAATCAATATGGCTGCCGCGAAGACTAAGTATCAAATAAAACAACATAAATACAGTTCAGGAAGAAACACAGAAACCCATCGACAAACGAATTCCCATTTGGGAGACAAAGAAGAGCATATGTTAGTTCTAATTCGTCTAGACGGAAAACTGTGTTTATTGAAGTGACTGATAGTGTAATTTTGCAAACCAGACTTATTCTTCTTGTATAAATGACCTTCTTAGCTTCCTATCATCATCGGTTCCGCTGTTTGCTGACAATATCAAGATATGGAGAGCCATAAAAAAGTAAAGGAAATAGTTTAGATCTTCACAGTGGCCTGAAGAAGTTGTCTGGATGGTTTAGAATTGGACCCTTACAATAAATACTTCCACGTGCATTGATTCATATTGCTTACCAAGTTACAGATGCATATACGGCGAATGAAACTGAACTATCCGTTGTCCGGACATATACTGGTCTACGGGTGATTGTTTGCCATGATTTGAAGACTTCTGAACAGTTCTGTGCATTGACTGCTAAAGGTTTCAGAATCCTTTGGTCAGTACGTAGTACCTTTAGCTATGTATCTGACAAGATCCTTCCTACGTTCGATACAGTATTCGTTGTACTCATACTGCAGTATCGAATATGAATAGCCAGCCAATACCAAAATAGATAGTGAGTTGTTGAAGAAAGTCCAAGAAACAGCAGCTAGGTTGATTTTCGGAATAATAAAGCTGTCCTATAACGAGGTTGGTCAAGCCACACACACCAGCAATTGCAGGCAAAGAGAGTCAGTGTAGCAGCAATCTTGGCAGCAGCAGGCTTGAAAATACACGAGGGAAAAAGAAGGATCCTTAAATACATCACAGAGAACACCAATCCAATCACATTTGGTGAAGAAACTCTGAAAAAGTGGAAACCTTCACATACCTGGTCTGCAGCACCATCGATGAACGTGGAGGATTCTTTGCAGACGTAAGGGAAAAATTGGCAAAGCATGGACAGCATCACAGCGATTTTAAAAAATGCTAAGAACTCAAGATCACTTTCAACCAACATCAAAGTCAGAACGTCAACACAGTTCTTCTGTACGCAGCTGAAACTTGGAAGCAATTGCTTTAAAAGTGACACTTGAGTAGCGTCGGTGTAGCAGCTAGAATGAGTTCGTTATTTTAGGTAACAGTTGAAATGAAGTCAAATCGAGAGCAAGTCTGGTTAAGAGAACTAGCATAACAACATGAAATCAACAGAAAATTCTACGGTAATGAAGAAAAATCAAGCTGGAACTAAATTGAGATGAAAAATTCGTGCAGCTTGAATGACAAAAAAGTAGAAGCGATGTATCTACAGAGCCAGTGATTTTACTTACTCATATCACCTATTAATAGTAACTTTAAGTGTATATCGGACGTTTCTGTCTGGTCCATCTGAGGCACAAACATCACACTCGGCGCTTCATTTTGTAGGTCATTAAGACCAGGAAGTGTGTTGTGGTACTGCCTCGGGTGAAGCTGTATGAAGAAGAAATAACGAACAAGTTGCTATGTCAAATATACTTCTGAGTGGGAAAATTTGTCATCAAGTTTGTTAAGATTTCTTAGTAATGGTTTTCAGTGAACCAAGTGAATAGAAACGAGATTTCAAGTGGTTCGAATGGTTCTTTGTAGAATAGAGGAAGCTCTCGCCTAACAGGCCTCCATATCTAGTAGCAGTAGACCGTCTATGCCTCCAGGTATGAGCGTAGGTATATTTAACTATGAAAATGGGAATATTGGTAAATTTCAGTGAAATGCTGTTCCGATTCCTTGAGAATATGTCAAGTATTCTGTTCGGAGGACTCCAGGGAGGTTGCTCAAACAAGCCCAGCAGGTAGCGAATACTAGAATATGACTACTCTTAAGGAGTAGAAGATGTGATTTCAGTCCGTTCTGCTTTGTTGTGTATCTAGTTTCTGGGTGTTACTTTTAAGATTTATGTTGGGACTGATCATGGGTGGGTATTTATGTGGATGTTCTACAGTGTTCAGGATGCTGTAGACTATTAAAATGTAGTCAACGAGGCGCTTATATTGTAATGGGTACAGATTCAATGGCTTGAAGTATTCTTCATACAGTTTGCATTTCAGTCCTCGAACTAACTTTGCAGCTCACCATTGGTATGTCGCAGAGCATTATAGTCGGTTGAACAATAAGTGTTCAGTTGTGCAGTCGAAATTGCGGAAAATGCGCCTTGACTTTACCAGCTCAAGCTTTTCTGGGAGTGCATTTTTCTCATAGTTAGCGTAAGACTTCAGATCATATATATGTATCCTACTTTTTTTGACTGTCCTTTCCTTTCCAGACAGAAACTTAAATTTTGGAAGAATCAGGAAATAAACATATTTATTATACTTGGTCATCCTTAATAATGTGAATGGAAAGTGAAATAAACTTTTAGTTTTCGATTTCTGCAACTCGAAGTCTAAAGTTTTCAGAGTAAGCGGTTGGTTGCTATCACATATTTTGGCGCGCGTTAGGCGTCCTAAGAGTGTAGCGGGTTTGAAAAAGTACTTTGACGTGAGTGCGTGTTCAATTGATTTCTAGTCTTCCTTGCTCGATCATCTGATTGTTCTGGTTTAGAACTCATATTTTATCGACTGTTATTGATTGTTTACACTGAAAAGTGTAGACATATGTATGGAAATATACATTCTGCTTACTAGTTATATGATTTGTCGGCTAACATTTTCCCTCCCGTTTACTTCTTTGAAAGTCTGTTTCCACGCTCGTTCAACAACAGTCAACCTTAGCGCTGAGCCAAGATCCATCAATGACTTTAATTTATCAAAATAATTACCTCTGTGTTTAGAGGTAATCCCTCGGAATATTCCTGATTGGTAATTGCTAGAACAATCATTTAAGATAAACACAACTGATAACTTGTTTGCCAAAATTTTCAGTTTCGAGATGAACTTCTCGGATGTTGTAAAGGTTACGAATGGTCTCGCAGTTTTGTCGTCAAATGGTATTCACATTGCTTCTGGTTCTCAGCACAAAGTTTTTATTCGTATAGCAAATACGCTCCAAATATTTCAAATATACAGTTGTGTAGATATAGTGCAAAATATATTGTGGTCCGCAGACTCATTGTTCATTCTGACTATCTTAAAACATCGTGGCATAGTTCAGGTAGCTTTTTTTAATAGTTTGTTAGCTCCTGTAGATATTCTCCCTAGAAAATCCGGACTGGACCTGCAAAGTTGATGAGGGTTCTGCTGGGCTTCTTAGTGCTGTATGGTCGCCTGATAGCAGACATTTCTTGACAACAACTGATTTTTACTTGAGGATAACTGTTTGGTCAATATCGGAAGTCTCCGTTTCGTATCTGAAGTTTCCTAAAGTGAGTTCTGGTTGTATTTTGTGAACCTTTAGATTTTTCTCTACGTTAAGACATTGAATAGTATCAACAGAGCAGTTTCTCTTGATGTATAATAATGAAAAATTGATATCTGAAAACGAGACCGCTAGATTTTTTGGAAGTTTTATGCTTAAGGTATTTCTGTCGGCCCGCTAGATTGAGTCTATGTATGAACTTGATGCTCCAAAGTTAGTACTTGCTTAGCAGTAGCTGTATAATACGGATCACTTGGTTACTTAATTCATAAGTAATAGAGCCATCTTTATGGGGTTTTAAATATTTTTATAAATCACATTTGCTTTTCCCTACAAATTAAGGTAGTTTCACCTAGTGACCAATCCGAGAATGGCGGATTTTGTCAGCTTCAAAATTTTTTGTTCTTATACTTTGTTTTTGGTCAAATTCTTAGCTTCATTTGCTTTATTTACAAACCCGTAGGTACTGTAAAAGAGCGTTAACTGTGGGACTACTAAATGAACACCGGTTCATCATTCAGTGGTCGGAAGGTTCTACATATTTCCCACCATAGTTTATTCCTATCTTCATGAAGTAGCATTTATTTATTTATTTAAACACATATATATTGGTACAAAAGGGCACCAGATACGTATGCGCCACACAAAATAATGAAAGTAGGAAGAGAAGGGATGAAAAGATAAGGCGGGCTGAAATGTACAACCAGAAGACTCTTTCAGTTAGGAAAGTTAGAACCATTCTTTATGTAGAAAGTAAAAGAAGGTTGCAGCAGGATCGCCACTGGCTTCTATTCTGAGCCATATCTGATAACGTCTCTAGCCACTGTGTTGCACTATCTCTCGGACCCCAACCAGGGAGTCGTGAAGGACCAACGGAAGCTAGCCCTTTGCAGCTCTCTTTCATGCCACGACACCATGTCATACACTGACCTCCTCTCCGCTTTTTCCAACCAGTCCCAGGGTCGGCAAATAATGCACGACGTGGAAGTCTCTGGGACGACATTCGTAAAACATGTCCAAGCCACCGAAGTCGGTGTTTCAAAATGGTGACACCAATTGAATTATCGTCTCTGCGCCCGAACACACGATGCCGAACCTCTGCATTACTAACATGGTGTTGCCACTGGATGTCAGCAATCCTTCGGAGACAACGATGATCGAACACAGAGAGACGTCTGACATCCTCAACTCGGAGAGGCCAGGTTTCACAAGCATAGAGCAAAACTGCTCTGACCGACGCGTTGTAGATGCGACCTTTTACAGCCAGACTAACATCACGAAGGCGCCAAAGATGGCCCAGATTGGCATAAGCCGCTCTGGCTTTCATTATACGTGCATCAATCTCATCACTCACGCCACCACCAGCACTTATGTAGCTATCTAGATACACGAACTTCTCAACTACTTCGATCTCCTCACCATCCAGGGTGAGTAAAGGATGAGAATCCTGCCAGTCTTGTAGGAGTACTTTGCACTTGGAGGGTGCAAAGCACATGCCGTACCTGCGGACACTGATTGCCAACTGATTAAGTGCTGATTGCATGCCTTGGGCATTATCGCACAGTAAGACAATATCATCCGCATACTCAAGGTCGAGAAGTCGTTCTCCAGGCAACATATCCACACCGCCATTACTTACATCCATCAGAGCTGTTTCCAGGATGTCGTCGATGGCAAAGTTGAAGAGGAATGGTGAGATCGGGCAACCCTGCCTAATCCCACTGCTCGAATGGAACAAGGGAGAAAGGTGGTTGTATGCCCTCACTCTGCCTGAGGTGTTCGTATACAGGGCCTTTAAGATGTTAATGAACTTCTCAGGCACACCCTTCTTCAATAGACAATCCCAGAGAACAGTCCTGTCCAACGAATCGAAGGCCGCCCTGATATCAAGAAACACTACGATTGTTGGCCTGCGACAAGTATGACGGTGTTCTAACATTTGGCGGAGGGTGAAGATGTGATCAATGCATCCTCGACCAGAACGAAAACCAGCCTGCTCCTCGCGAGTCAATCGTTCTCGGGTTTTAAACAACCTACGAAGAATGATAGAAGCCAATAGTTTGGACGCAATCGAAAGTAGACTTATCCCCCGGTATTTATTGCAGGAACAACGTGAACCCTTTTTAAAGATAGGGACGACTATTGACTCATTCCAAGATGTTGGAACACTTTCTTGCTCCCAAACCTTTTCAAACAACGCAGTCAGTTCCTTAGCCAGAAAGTAACCACCATCTTTAAAAAGAGCCGGAGGTAAGTCATCTGGGCCAAGTGATTTATAACGTTTCAAGAGTTGGAGTTCCTTGAGGACTTCCGCCTCGTTTGGTGGATCAGTCGTCACCGGCCATGGGGGGCAGGACAAGCTGGTTGATGTTGCCGGAGCAGCAGGCCAGTTGAACTGCCCTTCGAAAAATTCCGCCCATCGTCCAAGACGTCGACAGATGTTAGTGATTGGCATCCCGTCATCCTCGTAGATTTTTTCACTCACACCAGACTTCTTGCTGCCAGTGGCTCGGATGAGTTGGAAGAGCTTCCGGCAGTTACCAGATGCAGCTGCTGCTTCCATCTGATTAGCACGCTCCGACCACCAGGCTTCCCGGTCCTTACGCAAGCTTTGCCCGATTTCATTACGTAACAGCCTTCGTTTGTGGTCAAACTCACGGTCACCCGGAGTAGACCGACGGGCTTCCATCAGTTGTAAGGAGCCAGAAGAAACCCAGTGCTTGTAAGCGGGACGTTTCGCGAAGCCGCAAGCGGCTTTACTCGCCATTTTCATGGCGTCGTGAAGATGCAACCAATGCTCGTCTATACTTTTCGGTGGGGTGGTAGCTAGCCTAGAGGCTAGCTCCGCTCGATACTTACTTGCAACAGAAGTTGCAGCCAGTTTACTAATATCAATCCGTTGGTGGTGGTCAATCCTTCGGCCACTGAAAAGTAAGGTGAGATTGGCGCAGACCAGGGCATGATCAGACTCCAGATAGGTACTCCAAAAGGAGCGGCAGTCTTGTACACAACCACGCCAGCGGTAGCTGATCGCGATGTGATCAATCTGAGTCCAGGCTTGGTATGCGGAGGGAGGACGCCAGGTGGCACACCGGCGATGACTGTGCCGGAAGTTAGTGCTAGCCAGAAACAGGTTGTGGTCTGTGCACAGTTGCAGCAAACGGTCCCCGTTATCTGTCCGGCGACCAACAAGTCCCCATCGGCCACCTAGACGACTCTCTTCTGTGCCTAGACGCCCGACCTGCGCATTCAAGTCTCCGGCTAGTACTACAATATCTGTCGAACGCGCTTTCTGGAGAAGAACTGTTAACTGATGGTAACACTCATTCTTGATTGCATCCGGGCTGCAATCTGTCGGGGCATAGGCGGAGATGACGAAAAGACACCGTTTCTCACGCCGATTTCTTCTCACTTTGATGGAACTTTCTAATCTAACAGCACATAACCGACTGTTAATGGGGATCCAATCGATTAGTGCTGCCTCAGCCCTAGCGCTTAGTGCGACACCAACGCCAGCAAGACCAGACGAAGATGCCACAGGGTCCCCGGATAAGCGCACGTGGAACAAGCTCTTCGAGGCGACAGATGGAGAGCGGATTTGTAGTACTTCACTAGAGTCTTGAATACGGGTCTCGGATAGACAACAAACATCAACATTAAGACCTTCCAAAGACATAGCCAGCCCTATCTGTTGTCCGATCTGCATTAGTGTGCGAACGTTGAAGGAAGCCAGCTTGAATGGCGTACGTGGTTTCAGAAAGACTGCTTCAGTATTCATTATCGGTGGAAGCATTCACTTTCAACCAGACAGTGACTGGAGATCGTTTAGATAGGACAGATTTTCCACCATGGGCGAGCTGCTGCATAAGTTGAAAAGTAAGGTTACACAAATTGGGGATAAAAGGGGGTGAGTTAGCGATATGGTAAATAATAATAATAATAATAATAATAATAATAATAATAATCAAGGTAATAATAATAATAATGTTAATTGTCTTGCTTTTAGTATGAGCAGGGATATTATCGTCAATAGAGTTCATCATTTCATTCATTTGTGTGTGGGCTGTGATACTGCCCGGGTGCCCAAACCGAAGCAGGTGGTTTTCTTAGGGGACCACACATCGAGCCTTTGACCTAAAGGTCTGATCCACAAGGCAGTGGAGCATCGTGAGGAGATGCAGTCCCATGGTTGCCGTTGACCAATGACAGGTTCTTCCGCCATTCGTTCCATCAGGATACTGGAGCCCATGTGCACCATTGGTTTGGAATCAGGGTTTTCCAACTCCCCTAGGTGGACCCTCCGTGTCCACCAATCCGGTTATAGCGCCGGACATTCGCTTTTCGTCCTCTCACTTTCGTAAACAACACCCCCGCCACGAGAAGGCAGTGAGTAGGACTTCCCTGGAAGAGGCTATATATTCGCTGGCCATGTGAAAGCATTTGGAGAGGGAGAGTAGACTCTCCCCACTATCGGCCGTACCAGGGCATTTGGGTGCCATGCAGTAGCATAGGTGTACATCAAAAGTACTCAACTGTAGAGTTTGATTGAGACTATTCAATTGCTAATATGCATTTTTTCTTTCTCTCAACCACACAACAAGTCACTTGATGTAGTTTATTTTTAGTTTGCTACATGTTAAATCATAATATTCAAAACAAAAATGCGTTTGCGTCTTACGACGGTGCGTATTTTTTAAATCTTGATACCATATGAGGATCTATTGGTTTTGTAACTGAATAATTCAGAACAGGAAGAACGTTTTGTTTAAACTTCCCCTAAAAGCCAATTTTTATCAGTTTGTGATATATTCTTGATCACCATGTAAATATTCCAAAAGCATCTCTTGTTTCAGAAGCATTTGACGATCATTAATATAATCTGTTCTGGCCGATTCATCAAAACAACTTTAATGTAGAGAAACTGCAGTGCTCACCAAAAAATATGTTGTCAACCAGTTTTTTGTTTATTATCGTTAAATATTTAGTACGGATTGAGATGTATTAATAGTTATTGTTTACAGCGATTACCTACTGTAACTTCTGCTGGCAATTTATATATTTAGGCGTGTGCAAATAATTTGGCATTTTGTCCTGGCGGTCGTTATTTGGCTTTGCTTGAACGACGGAATTTTCAAGACCACTTAAGTCTCTTCGATTGCAGACTTCAGTGGACTATTCTTTGGAACATAACGTTAGACACTGATGATGCCGTGGGACTTGTATGGTCTCCAGATGGACGCTATATTCTCGTGTACGATAACTGCTTGAGATACAAAGCATCTATATACAGTGTTGGTGGAAAACATCTCAGTACATATTGTGCTTATAAACCAACACAGGAGCTTCTAGGTATAAAATCTGTATCATGGTCTCCAACAGGGCAATTACTAGCGCTAGGAAGGTACGTTTGCATTTTTATTTGTCGTGTTAATTGGTTTATGTAATTAGCTGGTTTTAATCTATTAGCCCAGTTTATACACCGAATAAATGTCGATAGTTTGCTACTTGGATGATTGTTATGTTTCTATCACAAGGCAAAATGCTCAGGTGTTTGCTCTCTATATTAAGTTACGTGTATTAAAGAAAGCTTATAATGAAGCGTCAAGGGCTTATATATTTTACTGCTTACATATGTTAGTTTATATAACGGAGGTTTCTATCTATTGGTAAATTTCATTCAAAGTATGATTGGGACACGTAAGTTTACTTTATAGACTGCAGACGATAAATAACGTCCGCTGATTTGACTTCACGCACATTATTCATGGAAAATAAGTAGTATTTTATGCTGAATTTTGCTTGTCGTCCAGTATAGTAGCATCTCTTCCAAAATTTGATTTTTATGAAACACATAATCCTGCGTTTTTATGATATGCATACTTTGTGAATTTTCAGTAATTTTACGAATTCGTGTGAAAAACTCCCTTTTTGACTATATCATTTAGATCAGTTGTATAATTATTGTCACTGGTTACAGTCCGAAATTAAGTAACCAGTTAACAGTGTGTCATTGAAATGTTTATAAATAGGTATATAGTTTTCTTTTCAGAACGAGGATATGTTATGTTCTGGTATTTAAAGCTGTTGAAGAATGCGTAATACATCAATAATAAATCTATCATGAAAACTAATTGCGTTATTTTAACCTCAATATTCATCCAAACACTTATTATATAGGATCGATATTTATGCTGGTGGAACGTTTGATTTTATAAGCTGTTGTACATTAATCCACGTTTTCGTGAAAAGTGCATTTGTGTGCTCGTATTTTTCCCATTATTTTTTCACAGTTGAGGTATTGAATATGCGTGTCGGAGTCAAATAATGAAACTTGAAACACTTTTACGAATAAGAAATATTTTAAAACTGTGACATTTAAATCAAAATTGCATACTAATCATTTCTAAATTAACAACTTTATTTTATTTTGCCAATAATCCTGAATTCCTATGCTATGATTTAAACGATATATTTGCCTTGAACTTTTGGACTATAGATTTGGATTTATGACTGTAGAACTCGAAAGGAATTTATTGGAAATAATTCTCTTCGTTTCTTTATCTGTATTTTAATATGATGAGAATTTTTAAACAGCTGAACCACTTTGGACGCATGCCACATTTTTATATAAGTAGATCTCACTGAACTATTGTACAATGAATGATGGCTAGTATACCTATTCGTAACTGCCCTTTTATCCTTGGCCTGCAAAAATATGAAATAAAAAGCTAGTGACTTAAACAGTGTCGGAGAGGCTCGATAAAAGACTCGCTCATTCTGGAATACCTTTTTGGACTCCGATCATGCTCTAATACGAGAAATCATTTGCTTGCGCTTCAATGGACTCAGGAAAACCACATTAAGTAGACCCATCAGAATTGAGCTCAGTGACGAGAAAGTTAAAAGTAGATTCCAGTTACAACTGAGTTCACATTTAGGCAATTCTGAAAACGAGACCGACTCAGATGTTGCTTGGAAAGATATACGAACAGCTGTGGAAACAGCAACAACATCTATAGGTAATTTAAACCAAAGGGTTACAAAATACCAATGGATTTCTTCTCAGTCTACTGCACTGATAGATTCTCGTAAACTCATCCCATCAGACTCTGAAAACGATGAAGAACGAGAACAAATCAGATCTATGCCAACCAAAAGTCTAAGGAACGATCGTGAGCAATGGTGGCAACGAAAGCAAAAGAGATGGAAAAGAAATCGACTGTAGGTAACAAAAGACAGCTATCCACCATTCCCAGACAGCCTGAATGGAACATTAAAGTAGATCCCCCGACTCTAGCTGAAGTTCAAAAAGCTATAGCTAATCTGAAACAGGGAAGAGCAGCTGGTTCAGATAATTTGGATCCAAAGGACGTGAAGTGCGGTGGTCCAATTTTAGCGACTAGATTGACTAATATTTTAGCTAAACTCTGGGGGTTGGACGTAATCCCATCTGACTGGTCACAATCACTGACCGTCCCAATATATAAGAAGGGGTCAAAATCATCCTGTGATAACCATAGAGGGATTATAGGTGTCATTACCAAGGTTTGACTTGATAATTTCGAATAAATTGAGAATTGGGTAGTTTGTTATCAATAAATAATATATTTGTAATGTCCCAATGAGTAGGAAAATTAGATTTTCTGATGTTTCGTGACTCAACGTAGGCAACTTCTTCAAAGAATAAATAATCAAATCAGAAAATCTAATTTTGACTAATATAGCATTTAAAATACGAGCCTCAATAATTATCGGGCGCCTAACTAAGACTCGTGAACTTCAAACACCAGGAAATCAGGCTGGCTTCAGACCTGGTTATGGCTTTATCGACTACATATTCACTATTCGTCGGGTTTTAGAACACAGACATGCTTATCGGTGTCAGACAATGATAGATTTTCTTGACTTGAAAGCAGCATTTGACTCTGTAGACAGAGAGGTTCTGTGACAGTGTTTGTCATTGAAAGGTGTACCTCAGAAGTACATAAACCTTGTGAAGGCTCTTTACTCGAACACTACTAGTCGAGTCAGAGCTTATGGCGAGATGTCAACTGATCTTACAACCTCAAGTGATGTCCGACAAGGCTGTCCACATTCTTGTTCAACTTCACCATAAACCTACTGCTGGAAACAACTTTCTCGTCGACTGGATTTTCAGGAATCGATCTCCTACCAGGAGGTCCGCTTATCGACTTAGAATACGCAGATGATATAGTCGTGTTTGGCGAAGATGCTCATAAAATGCAGAGTCTTTTGATAGCACTAAGTAACAATGTCAGGATGTTTGGGATGTCTTTCTTCTCCTCTAAATGTAAATTGTTACTCCAACACTGGCTGCGTCAACACCTGAACTAAGGATAGGTAGTGAAGTAGTCGAACGCGTGGACAACTTCATTTGTCTTGGAAGTCTGATCAACCTTAATGGATTAGTATCTGACGAAATCTTAGCACGGATTCAAAATGCTCGTTTTGCTTTTGTTAACTTATGTCACCTATGGAGAAGACGAGATATCCGTCTATCAATTAAGGGACGCGTATGCTGCGTGGCAGTTCTTTCTGTTCTACTTTATGACCGCGAAACGTGGCTACTAAGAGTAGAAGATACTCGTAAGTTACTAGTATTTGACCACAGATGTCTTAGAAATATTGCTCGCATATGCTGGGATCATCGAGTAAGTGATGGTGAGGTTAGATACAGGGTATTAGGGAGTGATGGTAAATCAGTTGGTGAGGTTGTGGATCTTTATCAACTGAGATGGTTGGGCCATGTGTTACGTATACCTGAACACCAGTTACCACGACATGCAATGCTGACTAGTGTTGGAGATGATTGGAAGAGAGTTAGGGGCGGTCAAACCAAAACATGGCATCATTCACCAACTTCTAGTCTGAGCCACATTGGTAGATGCATACTACTTGGTTGGGGTTCATGTGACTATCGTAACCAATGGTTGGAAACTCTGTGTGGTATGGCTTAGAGTCGATCACAATGACGTAGGTGTATACATTCTTTATCTCCCCTTAAACGATGGGATTAAAATTGTTTTATATCTTTCTTTCTGTCAACTAATTCTTTCTTCCTGTATTGTATCTTTATGCACAGTATTGTTTTTAAATATTACTACCACTGAAGTAACTACTTCTGTGAATTTGGTGCTCATCTTGTTATGCTAATGAGATGTGGCAACTTGGATTGCTGCATGTATGTGCCTGGTCCTACGTTGTAGCTGAATGACTGATTGACATAAGGGGTACACTGTTATGGGTCAAAAATATTTATGTAGTTTCAACTAAACTACAACATTCTCATACTTGTTCATTCTTTTCTGGTTTTTTTCCAATAGCTACGATCAAAAGTGTCGTTTATTAAATGATTTCAATTGGACTTGTTTAGCTTGTCTAAAGCATCCTGTTAATAAACCAATCGATCCTTCTCTCGGACTTAGTCCAAGTGGCCGTCCTTTATGTGTTGATAATGAAGTTGATGGGGATATAGAAACATATCGAGCACATCGTATTGATATTTATGAAGAGTTTCGAACAGGTGTTTCATCAGATTTACCAACCAATCTTAAGGGTCCCCTAGATTCATCTACTGTCCAGTACAAACTACTAAGTGGTCCTGTTACTATTCAATCAATTAGGCCTGATCCCAACCAAGCATTTCCTAAGGTTGGTAATAGTTATGTAACTTATTTCAAACCACTAGTTAACTTAGTTTCTCGTAGTTTTCTCTTCACAATCTACATAAATGTATTTGTTTTTCGTTTATACAGTTGTTTAAACATAATTTATATAATTTTCTAGTCTATTTCTAAATTCATAAGAATGTGGAGTTATTGCTTCTAGACCTCCAGAAATGATAGAACTTTCAATATAAGTGGCTAAACTGCTCAACTACTTTTCTCCCTATATTGTGATTATGTATTGATGAAGATCAGTCTTGAAGTAGCACTTTATACTTGTTAGGAAAGAAATTCACACCAAACACTATCGAATTTTCGATCTAGGTGTTCATAAGTCTTAATGTTGTTAGCTTATACATTGTAAAAAATGTTATTTGCATATTGTAAACCGATAAGTGAATCTCCGGTAGGGTATTATCCATAAAAATTCGGATAATGGAACTGGTATTTCTAGCAACATACCTGTGACAAAATTCCTTAGAGCCGATCACTACTTAACGAGGTCAGTCCGACATAAGCTCCGACTAGAGCAATGATGTTTGAATAAAGGTGTTTCAGTAGGTTTGTGTGCTCCATCAGTACATAACAGAATCCAATTATAGTTATTGTCATTTCTAAGTAAAGTTCTTGATTTAGTGCTTACGTATGTTCAACTGTGTCTTAATTAAATTGTTACGCCCCAAAGAGTTCAATCTAATCCGCTGACTTACTGAAAATTGAGCAGCTAACCACTAAGGATGGTTCATTAACCCTTTTTTCAATTTCAATTCAGAATTGATAAAATATTATTATTTTCTATCGACAGCTAACTAACAATATTTAAGAGTATAGAGGAACACTAATAACAACAGGATTTGTATACAGGACAGGCTACAGATATATTAGGTAAGGATGATCCTATGTGATTATTTGATGCTAAACAAGTGAAACGGAATTTTAAGTGGTGATTTGTGCTCGTCTGTAAGCTACTAGGTAAATTACGCACTTTCGTCGTCATATTAGTGCATGAAAAATATTCTTTTATTTTCAGAATTTCCCTTTTTTAATTATAACGCTGATGTATACAAAAAATGTGAAACATTTGTAGGTAGGAATTGGTTTGACAGAATTTTCATCAGATGGTCGATTTTTGGTCACACGAAATGATAATTGTCCGAACGTAATTTGGATCTGGTCAGTTGATCGACGTTTAAGTCTATTTAGTCTTCTAATTCATACTAGTGGTTGTGTGTCTTCTCTAATGTGGGATCCGAGGTGTTCTGCTCGACTTGCTTTGTGTACAGGTTCAGATGCAGTATTTTTGTGGACACCTCAAGGATGTCTTGCAGTCCAGGTTAGTCTTATTTTATAGTAGCATGTTTCGAAAAAAAATGTCCCCTTTATATATCTCAAAAAGGCAAGAGCAATCATTATCGATGCTCTCTTTTATCAGGTGGTGGGATTACGTTCTCCAACTCCATCTGAAATCAACGGATACTCATGTCTTTATAGCAAATGGCAAACATACCAGTTATATCGGGTATTTCTTATTCTTCAAGCTGTTCAAGGTCGAAAATCTAAATATCTTTAGAGAGTTACAATATCCTCTTTATTATGTTAATATATCATCATATGAGCCAACTTTTCAGTTCACATTCTTGTAAAGTTTGTTCTTTGGTAATACAATAGGGTTTTTTGTTCCAGGCGAGTATCTAAACCTTTAAGCGAAGGGTGGAAGGAGAAAGGCAATACACAGTTAAGAAAAGAAATAAACGACTGAAAACACGTGAGGAAAACATGGTTGAGTGATCCATCCTTAAAGAACAAAAAGTGCATACGCTAGAACACGAAATGAAGTGAATAAAAAGATAAGGAAAGTTAAAGACGAACATATAAATTGCAAAATGGAAGAACTAGAACTATTCTTCCCACAACATGAGCATCACAAAGCATATATAGGACTAAAAGAAGTATCACCAATTTAAATAATAAAAACAGTGTACGAGGAAACGTAAGACAGGTAACAAATGCTGATGCTAAAGAGTTATTACCAATAGCTGTTTGTAAAGGTAGAATGTGACGTAAAGTATGGAAACAAAATAAGAGAAAATGATATCCCCTTCGCCGTATCAGACGTTGTGAAAAGTCTAAAAAGAACAAAAACTAACAAAAAACTGGGTAGAAATGGAATAACTACCGAAATGATAAAGCAAGAAGGAAGCAGACTGAAATACTCTTTAAAAGTATGAATGGATTTTGGATGAACCCAGAAACAATACCACAACGCTGGGTAGACGCAGATTTATTATTATTTTATTATTTGGGCGCATAAATATTGGTACAAGGGGGCACCAGATATATATGCGCCATCCAAAAAATTGTCATTTCATTTAATTGTGTGAAGGCTATGATACTGCCCGGGTGCACAGACCGAAGCAGGTGATTTACTTAAGGGGCCACACCCTTAGCCTTCGATCTGAAGGTCTGATCCACAAGGCAATGGAGCACCGTAAGGAGATGCAGTCCCATGGTAGCCGGTGACCGACGATTGGTTCATACGCCATTTGTTTCCTCAGGATACTGGAGCCCATGTGCACCATTGGTTTTGAATCAGCGTTTTCCAACTCCCCTAGGTGGACCCTCCGTGTCCACCAACCCGGTTAAAGCGCCGGACATTCGCTTTCGTCCTCTCGATTTCGCAAACAACACCCTCGGCACAAAAAGGCAGTGCGTAGGACTTCTCTGGCAGAGGCTATATACGCGTGGCCGTGTGAGAGCATTTCGAGAGAGGGGGCGGGCTCTCCCCACGTTCGGCCGTATCAGGGCATTTGGGGGCGTAGACGCAGATGTAATCAGCTTATTAAGGCGACAGAAGAAATCCAAACAGTTATAGGAATATTTTCTTCCTTGATGTAATCCATAGTTGTACTTTGGATTCAATTTAATAAAAGCATTTGATACTGTGCAGAAGGGATTAATCAGTAAGGTAATAAATGAACTAAATATGCCCACAAATATTAAAGGAAGTGTTGGACGATTACTTGCAAAACCGAAATGACACTTGATTGGGTTGGATTTACACTTTACAATGGATAGAGGTGTCGAATAAGACAGCAAAGAGGGTCAACATTTCTTTAACTTTGTTTTTTAAGAAATCCTGAAAGAAGCAAAAAACAAACTGATACTGGCATAAAGATGATAGGTAAATAAAACAATGAATGGATAATTAAGCATGTTGAATATGCGGATGACTTGTATATAATCACTAAGGCAGTAAGTGATGCAACTTTGTTGTTAAATAAAATGCGAAATCTTCTTGACAAACTCGGGATGAAAATATCAGGTGAGAAAATCAATGTAATGATCATAAATGCTAGTGGAGATGGAAAAAACAGTTAAAATTGAGGGAAAAGTAATCGAGAACGTAAATTTATTTAAATACCTGGGATCCGAGGCGTGTAACAATGGTCTCCCTGAAGAGGCCATACAATATGACATTATTAAAGCCAAACATGCAATAATTCGTATAAGACCAATAAGACTGATCTTACGATCAGCAAATGTCATCATTAGCACAAAAGATTGATTGCAATGGCAGTAGTACCCACTCTAATTTATGGACTAGAAATAATAGTCTTATGTTGGAAAGATGCAACGAGATTAAAAACCGCTAAATACTATGAGACGTATGATATTATTAATGAATCACAAGAAAAAATTGATTATAGAAGAATTGAGAGAGTTTATAAAACTACCAAACTTAACGAAAAAAGACAAAACAGACTGAATGCGCGTGGAAAATATAAGAAAGGATAGTGTTTTGTTCAAAGCGGTCAAGAGTTTGTTTAAAAATTGTCACGAATGAAAAAGCGCACACAAAAGGTGGGTAAGACAAATTCTGACACTGAAATAATATCTACCAAATGAGTAGATAAATAGCCCGACCATTATAGAACTAAATAGATTCAGTGAATACAACCCGGCACATTAGAAAAGCGAGAACTGATGATCAAATACCTAAATTACAATTGTAATCAATTTTTCGCAACAAATAAAGAAATGTATTAACATTATGGAAATGATCAGGGATTAAGGGATGCAGAAGCTCAGAAAACTGATACATCTGTCCTATAAAAATGACTGTCTAAAAACATATAATTCCCATTTAAACATTAAAAACACGAAAAGCTAAAGAATGGTTATTAATGAGTTTCAAAACATGCCACCCACAGAAAGAGTCTGAATCTGAAAGGAAATCAACGTGATCGGACCGGGGAGATAACTATGTGATCCTGGCAGGCGAAACAGAGAATGATAACAAACAAAGGACAAGCAACAAGTTGAACCACTGCTCATATGAAGGATGTACAAAATAATTTCCAACTTGGAGAGGAATAATAAATCATTGCTATGTGATTCACATGTAGTGTGCCGTCACCATAAATGTGCCAAGGGAGAGAAAGGTCACGACTAAAATGGCTATTAAGCCTCGATATTCGTACCTTGTCATCTATGAGTGTATCCGGAAAAGGCAGTCGACTTCACCAAACCTTTATAGCTGAAAGAGACGATAGATTAAATAAAATATTGTGTGTACCTTATGTGAAAGGACGTTGATATTAACAAAAGACCAACAGGGTAGGAACAAGTAGTTACGTAACGAACAAGCTCTGACAATAAGTAAGAATAAAGTGAGTAAATGTCAGTTGGTTAAAATAGATAAACTAATCTAGAAGACAGTCAAAATAAAAGTATATAGTGACGTAATTAACTGAAAGAAAGAGTTGAATTTTGTTTTAAGGGTACACATCAAAAGAAACTCTTTTATATACATCGAAAAATCGATTACCCAAGTCTGAGGCTGATATCCATATCTATATTCACAACAGCTCTACAGTTTTCTATCGTAATTTGTCAAAATATTAGTAAAGTTAGAGTAATTTATACATTGTATTTGAATACTCGGTTAAATAACTGTAAATTGTGGTCACATAGTTCGTATCACAGACCTAACTTCTACTAATACACCATAAAAAGCAGCATAAAATACCCAACTTTATTACACTGCTAATAATATATTTTTTGTGCAACTTTTTTGATGTTCAGGCCCCAACACACTTCAATTTTCTAATTTCGTCCCTCGTCTGGCTTTCGACTGGAGACGGAATTCTACTACAATCGGAAAATGAATTTTGTCTATGCTATCTTGATTCTGGTGATAAGTTTGAGAAACATAAACCTCTTTGGAAGCCGCCTAAAATCAATTTGTCGACTGGAAAATTCCATCAATATGAAATAAAAAGAAATTCTATAAATGAACCTGATCATTGTCTACCGTTTAATAATGCTGTCGGAAATGAGGACTGCGATTCTCTTTCCAACCCATTTGGTGAAGATGCTCCAAATTGGTTGAAACAACACAGTAAGATATCATCTGATACCACTGTAAAAGTTCGGAGAAGAAGTTTATCTTCGTGTGATAAACGTAATGTTACGAATAAGGAATCGAAACCTTCTCGAGTTCTTTCTTCTTTATCTATCGGTCGACAAGCTTGGTTGGCCCCATCCCCAAATATAAAACTGGCCAAAAAGTCAGCAACTCAAAATACTACCACAACGAAACGATAGTGCTTTTCTGTTAATCTATTTACATTTAAATACTATCTGTGGAAATACCGACTTGTTCCTATTTAATATCAGTAGCGATGTTTTATGTATTCGATTGACACATGCATTTCACATATTGTATTTCCCGTTCAGCCAATAATTGTGTAGGACTATTTTAAATATTTAAAAGATATTGCCTAGTTTTTTCCGGAAAATATTTTTCAAAAATCACTTGTGTTACTAACTTTCGCTTTTAAACTTCTTTTTGTATAATAAACTGTCGTTTTCTCTAGTAATCCTTCATCAGTACAAAGCTACCAAACAAAAATTAGTTGTCAGTGATGGTGATTTTTCATGTTGTCTCATTTGTAATAAAATGTTTAATGTTAACAACTGTAAAGTCATTCATAAACGACGTAGGACCTGGAATAAATGTGTTACTCCGTGTCTGCACATTATACATCAGCATAGTAAGAGAAAATTAATAATCAAGTCGTATCACGTACGGTAAAAACAAATATAAGACATAGTTCAGGAAGTGCAAACGAAATCAAAGGAGAAAAAGTATTAAATAGAATCATAACTTGAGACTGAGAGCAAGATAAAGGATCGATCCGCTTCGAATCATGTAAACTATGATCTTCAGTTATTGATTACGATTATCTTGTGGATCTGTACTGGGTAATCAGCACCTAACATTGATCCGTTTCAGAGTACGTATCTCCATGGCTAATGTTGTGTTGTCATCACCTGAATGCCTGTGACTTTTGTTTAACTCACTTCGATCCTAGCCAGCGTTTCACATCGTGATAGGTGGCTGCTGGACATGTGTATTTCATTCCAGCTACCCTAACAAATAAGGGTCAATATCTTCACCAACCAATTTACTGTCTTAACTAATATCCTACATTTAGCTTGAACACTAATTACTTGGGAGTTCCGCCATATACTATCACTACTTTGAAAACATATGATCAACTACTTGTAACTTGTTCATATCTTCTACTTCCGTAAGACAATAAAAACGGACTGTGTCTCAGTTTACTCACCTTTTTTTATTAATCAGGAGCACATTTAGTCTGGTCTGCAGATGGGACAAATTTGCGAATTCGGAGAAATATTTTTTATATCCTTGTCAAAACTTATTCACTAGTTAGAATGAAGCTCCCAAGTTAGTTAAGTGATCAACATACTCAAATACTTCACATCCTATTAGTCATTTTTCGCAGATTGATTGAACTTGCGTTCAATTTTTTAAAGAAAAAAATGTGGTTGTATGTTTTGATTACAGTATTAATATCATATTCGAATACTCCATTCAGTTGGACTGACTTGTGTTTTTGGTGAACTAGGGGATTTCAGGCTGATCTGTTTATTTCGTCACAATATTTTCGACTTGATTTCTGTTTGAATGATCGTTATTTTCTGCTTTTACGTGCGATCCTCTTAATTTCCTTTACATCCAATTCTGTTTTTTTTCCCATCAAAATGGATCACCAAGATCAATACAGAAGCTATTGTCATAATGTATCTAATAACAGGTTTTGTCATTTAACAATGGTCGTGCATTATTTTCTTATAGAAACCTAGGGACTCCACTTTCGAAGAACATTTCTGAAAGATTGTTGAATTCGTCATTCAGCAGTTCTGTTTTAACGGTAGATATGTACTTAGTTCATTCAGTAGATAAACTTGTACAGATTGCAGAGACATAGTGACACATGTATAAGACATTATTAGATGTACTCATTAAATTTTATTAACATGGTGCATATACTTGTATACTATCAGGTAAACTATTCTGAAATTATTAAAGTTTAGTATTGAAATGTATCAAGAACCACTCCTTTTTTGTATGCGATTCTAATTAAACAACTCGACTTACCTTATTTCTTGCATGGTTTATAGTATGTTCCTATAAGATTTCAACAGTGTAGCAATAAAAGAAACTATGATTATAATTTGTTCTGTCTATGTGATATGGTGACTTGAAAGTTACTTTTTTTAGTCTATACTAGGCCATATATGTCATATCATTCGTATTCATACAAAATAAGTGAAGAATTAAAAAAGTTTATACATATGAATGATATTTATCAAATAAATTCAATTTTTCAATAATAAAGCAAAATATGCTGACAATTACTAAGAAGTAATATTTGAAAATGATCAAAAATTATTCTATAAAGATTTATAATATGTACAACATAACATTTAATCAAGACATTTTCATATTCAGAGGGGGGTTTTGTGGATATTATGGTAATTTAATAGTTGAATTTATCACTCAATTGAAGCTAGATCACCATGGAAAACATGGAAGCATTGAACAGCTGTTTCATCTTAGTATGGACCTCCTTAGCAGTGCGCATCCATGATTCCGTTCGCGCGCGAGACTGGGTTCGAATCTCGCGATTGCGGGATCGTGGGTGCGCACTGCTGAGGAGTCCCATAATAGGACGAAACAGCTACCTAGTGCTTCCAGGTTTACTATGGTGGTCCAGCTCCAATTGACTCATGAATTCAACTATCAAATTACATTTTCATATCTTAAAATGTTTATCTTTATTTCCCTGAAAAGAATAGAAGATCTAGTTCAAATGTTTTTAGACAGAAAAGAATTCCATGGAGTTGAAATTAATGAAGCGTTATTTTCAAACGAATTAAACTTAGATCGTGAATTATGATTGATCATTTCATTTTCAATGGATTTAGATGATTGTAAAACTATTGAATTCCTAGGGATTTTTATTTGTTCTTTTATTACTTCATCAGTTGTTTTCATATTAAATACATAAGAACTGTTTGATGATGATAATGAAACAGTTGTTGTTAAAGATGGTGATGATGTAGATATTGTTGAATTCTTTGATAATACTGAATTTGAACTTGTTGAATAAGTTGAAACATTAATATAACTAGCTGCAATTGCAGCAGCTGCCACTGCTGCAGCATTCAATTGTTGATGATTATTTTCAATGGGTTCATTTGTTGAATCAGTTAAATAAGGATAATAATTCTTATCTAATTTATTTTTTTGATAAAATTTTGAACATGAATAAAAATTTGTAATTGGATAGTTTAAATTTCTATAAGATGGTTTAGTATTACTATTAGTAGTAGTAACATTTAGTAGTAAATTTTCTTTATGATATACATTAGGAAGTGTTGGTTTTGGTATAGTTGATTCCATTTGATTTATTCTAAACCATTGTGTCATTTTTGAATTAGTACTATTTGCTTGGAGTTCTTTTGTAATAATTTTTGTACCATTAGATGTTAATAGTTTAGTAAAATGTTCTAAATCTTTGCGTTTTTTAGCTTGAGTTAATTTTCGATTTCTTGTTTGAATAACTTCTTTTTTCATCGATAATGGTCGATTTATCTGAGGGGGGGATTGTTTCCAAAAAATAAGAATCATTGAAAATTATTCATTTATCATAGATACTATCAGTACAATAATCAATGTGTGTTGAATTTATATGTTTAAACAACAGAGTAGTGAAATATGTGTAAATTCACTCAGATGTTTTTTTTGTTTAAAATACTCTATTCTAACTGATGATATGATCCTCAACCGACTTTCTAATGTACACTCTTACCACACGACTAATCATGAAGAAAAAAACTGGGAAAAGGCGATCAAGTTCGCGAATTCGATAATATCAATCAACAGTTTTCATCTACGATCTCGAACGGATTTATATTCTTAATTTTCGAACAAATGTTGTTCAGTGGGACCATAAAAGCCGATATCTCTAGTATTGTAGTCGTTCATCTTGATAGCTACATGGTTTTTTATAACTGAAAAGTTTTGGTTATTACTGGAAGTCGTGAAATAAATTCTACTCAATGCTTCTGAAGAATGACTAGTATAGAATACAGTTATTTGCAAAAATACTGAATTTAGTAATATTTTTAGAGTATTCATTTGCTCGTCATATTTTCATAATAACGATGCTTTAATAAAGTATGGATCATCCTTTGGCTTTTCTGTACTAGGTTAATATACCCCGATGTAGTAATTTTTTACACTAGTGGCATTAATGGCATTTTGGCTATCTTCTGCTTCCTTTGACCTTTATTGAACAATTATTTCCTGGATTCTCAGCCATATTCAACTTTACAAATACTAATCGATATTTCTCGGTAAGGACTTTAATCCTTTTCAGCTCTGGGAATAAGCCAATTATCAGGCAGAAAATTTATGTCAGCCTATAATTCTTATAGTAGGGATTCTCAAAAGTTCTTCTTCAGAACTAGTTAAATTCATCCTTTGTTTCTTTACCGGTTAAGAAGAAGGTTACAGTTGATCTGATCATGTTTTGTGTCCACCATTTTAGAATAAAATTGGTAGATTTATACTCAGGATGTGTAATCTAAAGTGATTTTCTTAGTTTGAGTTTATTTCGTAAATTCATCAACACTTATAATATATTAAACTTACATGATGTAATTTGTAATAAAGTCCACATGCGTTGCATACTGAATCGCCTTGTTGATTACGTCTCCATAATGTTGTGTGTGATGTTCGACAATTAGCACAGAATGTACCAAGTTTACGGTTTGCGGACTTAATCAAAATTTAAGGAAATAACGGCATATAGTATGTTTTCATCGAATGATAAATATATATACATATATCAGAAGGGGTTTTGTGGAGATTTTAGTAATTTTATAGAGTTGAGATCGTGAGTCAATTGAAGTTAGACCACCATGGAAAACCTGGAAGCACTGGACGGCCGTTTCGTCCTATTATGGGACTCCTCAGCAGTGCGCATCCATAATAGGACGAAACGGCCGTCCAGTGCTTCCAGGTTTTCCATGGTGGTCTAACTTCAATTGACTCACGATCTCAACTCTATAATATATACATATATATTTGAAGTTGTAATAAAAAAGGTATCTCAATCGTGAACCGAGTAAGTTGACAACAATAAACATAAATTAGTAATTTCATCTAGAAAATTAATGTGGTCATGACTAAAAATAAGTAATGATTTTCGTGGATCATATTTCATATGAACATTTCAATCTCATTAATCATCTTATCATTTTTGATAGTTCTGTTTACAATTCTTGAACTGACGGTCTGTACAAACTTCATAACACATTCTCCTTAGTTGCTCTTTTTCAGTGAAGAACATTGATTTGTAAAAGGACATTTGTATTCTATTTATTACTGTACCATCTATAAATCTTCAAGATATATAGTTGATGTGTGGGCAAGAATGATAATGATTGGTTGTCTTGATGAGTCAAACATTAGATAGAATGACAGGTGTTATGTGTTATATATATTCCCCTATCCTTATTATGTATTAACTGTTCCTTGTGTCGGATTTTGGTGTGGAAATATATTGACCTTGTAGTCAGGCTAATCTCGTGTTCTTGATCTGAGTTGTGTTGAAGTCCTGTAGAATAGACACTGGGTGGGAATCTAGTGTAGATATTCGTCTAAGGTAAATCAACGTTCCACATACGTGTAAAAAGTGAAAGGACTGTTATAATCAGAAACTCTAGAGTTATAACCAGTATTCTCTTCTACGTTTATAACAATAATTATAATGTTTTTTTTTCAATCTCAGTACTATACATAGTGGAAGGTATTTGCAAAATTGTATCATTAGGTATCTGGTAGTATGTAAAATTTTTGCTTTTCTATGAGATTAATAAGTTTATTTCTATTTTGATCGCTTTTCCATTCTACAGAACTATGAAATTTCATCTCAGTTAAACACTTTTCTAGAATCACTTATTCTGGGTCAGTGTAGTTATTCAGTTTCATATTTTTACTTCATACATGTAGGAGGTGATTGTGCGACATTACATTCAATTTACTTTGAAGAAATTATAATTACTCTAATATAATGTTAGTGAATGAAAGTTAATGTTTTAATGAACCTATTACTTGCACTAGCTTAACCGAAATCATAATTTGCTTTGGTACTGAATATACCATACAATTAGCGGTGTTCATCATATTCCTGCAGAACCCTAGAAGAGATTCTACTTGTATATGAATCATCAGTAAAGTTGGATCAAACTAAAAGCCAGGAGTTGTTGCTTTAATTTGACAATTTTCATCATGTTGAAACTTGGATAGACTATGAAAACCTGCTTTTTTATATCGGCATTTAAATGGATAAAAATACAAATACGTTTTCAAATCCATATGCTATAGTTTTTGTTAAAATCCTTTCAGAAATTCATTTAACCGATGGTCTTACTTTAAAAATGGTTATTCTTTTAGACTGATAGGGTTTAAATTTGTCAGTATGTGTTATTGTAACTGAAATTATGTTAAAAATTGCGAATATATATACACATGAAGTCAACTCAATCAGAAGCCAAATAGTTACCCATTGTTAGTATAGGATAAAGATTGATGGCATTTCACTTGTCAAGTAATTTGAAAATTATGGATGATTGGATACCAACTCAGTGGTTGAATGTCATATGATTTGATGATCCTTAATCAAATCACATGTTAAAAGCTAAGGTAAACCAACCATGAAATTCCCCATCGTTTACAAATGTACTTTAAAATTGGTTCCATTTGTTGTTAAAAACTACCGTCAAACAAGGTTAATATCTTAGTTCCATATATATCAGATGTACAAGTTCATAATATACCGGAACTCATGTACCAGTCTTCTGTATTAGCTACTATTAAATATTATTAACCAGCAGAGAAAAAAATGCCATTTCTGGTTTTAGTCTTGTTATTTCGACTTTCAGATATAATATATTTTAGAAAGTTTCATTTAGTTTAGTAAATTTTCATGCTTTTGGTCGAACTTAAAAAATACCAGGTTAACTGTATATTTATCGGTCATTTGTGTAACATTGAAATATTTCAACACTTTTACGATGAACAAGACACAACTGATTGATTGTTATAAAATACGCCAAATCATTTTAAAACTTTACACAAAATTCAGATCGTTAGCAAGGTTACATACTAATAAACTGGTAACAAATTTATCAAGATAATAAGATCCCTATGATATTTCTTTTAATCATTAAGCAGAAACATAGTAAAGTTTAAACACTGACTAGAGAAGAGTTTGAACATAGAAGGCTTAGTAATATATATATATGGAGATTTAGTATTTTCATAGTTGAGATCATGAGTCAATTGAAGCTAGACCACCAGGGAAAACCTGGAAGCACTGGACGGCCGTTCCGTCTTATTGTGGGGCTCTTCAGCAGCGCGCGTTCATGACCTCGTCTAACGATTTTGTCTAACTCCAACCAATCCACGAAGTTAAGCAACCGTTCACCAATTGTCTTCAGTGACTTGATATCTCACAACAGACTTGGTTTGAACTCCACTGGTCTCCACAAAAACCCCTTCTGATAATAATAATAATAATCATATGCTCATTAGTGACTGACTTCGAGAGATAAATCCAGGAGTTCTGGTGAGATGCAGTGACCAGTGGAGTTCAAACCACGTCTGTTGTAAAGATATCAACTGACTGAAGACAATTGGTGAACGGTTGCTCAACTTCGTGCATTGGTTGGAGTTAGACATTAGCACCATCGAATGCCGGCTCAGTGGTCCATCTGGTAAGTGCTCTGGTGCGAGACTGGTATGTCCTGGGTTCGAATCTCGCTAGGCGGGGTCGTGGATGTATATATGAATTGAACTATCTTTAAATTAGAGCTTATATTTGAATAGGATACAATTTTCTAAGGGGGAAAATGTCAAAATTGGCAATTTAATTATAAATGCTTTCGCTTATGATAAAAGAGATTTAGTTTGATATTTCTGAAGATGACCAGTTATTTCTGTTTGGTAAGTAGTTATAACTTGATATTTGAACATTTCTGTCATGAATTCTTTCTCACTGAATAATCAGTAGTATAATGTACAAGTCTGGAGCTTTTTTAAATAGAAATAGAATGTTTTTTTCTTTATTTGAAAAGAAAACTACTACTAATATCAAGATGAACGATTATAAATAAGATAATTTAAATGCTAATTTGAGTTTTTAAAATTATAAATGAAGAACTGTTTAATTCGGCCGGTAAACAGTTATGTATGAGTTTAGTATGATTTTTTCGGACACTATATTAGAGTAGTGTTTTATCTACGTAGAGTGGTATGCATAGATTTCATAGACATTTACTAGCAAGCAGATAACTAAAACTATATGACTATATCATCTTCCACTACCTTGAAGTAGTTGCTAACTATATACTATAATTAAAAATTGTAAATAATATAAAAATGTTTAATATAATGTGAGTTACCATACGACGTTTTGGTTTTATCAGTGGTCGATTCGTTCCATTCATTTTATGATATAAGCCACACGCATTGCATAGATAATGTCCAGCTTCATCTCTACGCCATAATGGTGTTTGAGTAGCTCCACAGTTGACACATTCTCGACCGTCTATAGAAAATTGAGAGTTGAATTATTATTAGATTAAAGTAAAATATAGTGTTAGCCACATAAAGATAAACTGGCTACGAAACATTATCAGATCTTTGAATGTACATGTTTGGTTTTTTTTTTAGCAAAAATACTGTTTCTTTTACTGGTTTAAATAGCATAAGACGGACAGTTTGTGGTATATGCTGAAACCAAACACTCGAACAACCAGTACTTGCATATAAAGTATCAAATAAATGTTAAATGAGATTAAAGCAGTATGGTTAAAATTGTCAAGTTCGTTAATAAGTAAAGTAAAATCATTATATTCACATGTTCTTGGATAAGATCAAAATATAAGAAATTGTTCTGTACAATTTAGCTCAAATTACAATAATGAACTTGAATCAGATCAGGATTTAGATAATTATGACAAAAATTGTTGCACCGTCGAGTGCTTCCAGGTTTTCCATGGTGGTCTAGCTTCAATTAACTCATGATCTCAACTATATAGAAATTGTTTTTCAAGAACATTCCAATTATGATGGCATTTAAAAAAGTCAATATTGCTGGGATTTTCAATAGTAAATTAAATAGAAGGAAGGGATTTACTCACCAATAAATTTTGACGATCTATTAGATTATTGTTTGCTTATTGTCTTATCAAATGAATGTTATTTACTAAATTTTTTTTTGAAAAAATATTCCTTAATTCCTTGAATTTTCAAGATCTGTTGAATATAAAGATAGTCTTCTTGGTGGACAAACATCAATCAGAAAATCTCTGAAAACTAAGAAGTAGTAGTATCTCCCTAAAGTTTGACACTCCTAAGTATTAGTTACCAGTAACTCCTTAAACGATCATGTAAAGATATGCTTAATACGATAAGTTAACCATTGATAACTTTAACACTAACGCGAAATAGCCATTAGATGCTCTCTAGATTTCCCCTGTTGCTTCAACTGGTACGAGAGTATGTGATGAAAACTACCTTCATAGATCAGTTTATCAACTTTATTCTCAATATGTTAGATGGTTAGAATTAATCGACAGACAGGAAACCATGAACCTAGGTTCTGTGCTAGTTGGAACTCACGAACAAGGCATACCTACAATCTTGATGAAATTGATGTTCAGTGTGCTATTCGAGCATTATAATTTACTCGATGGAATTCGGCTAGAGTTAAGGGATAGACAAGTCACTCAATTGCCAATCTACATATCAGTTTCAATAATTAGAAGTTTTTGCTTTAGTAACAAAGCTTGCAGAACTTCTGCTTCTCCATTCTGGTCAGTTACTGAATTTACTGTATTATTTAGTGTTTAGGAAACCCTGCCCAGTGAAAAAGCTATTCAACTGATAAATGAAGAGCCAAGGTATGTTGCGATTATTGTTGGATATATATATATATATATATATATATATATATGAGTTATGTGCTTTTCACAAACCAAATAAGTTGATAATAATATACTTGATTGGTTGACTGAACGACACTGGTTCAAGAGCCTTTGAAATTTAAAAGTAATCACTGTTAATATGTATTAGTAAATAGTAAAATTTTTCACTATGGTTTTTAACATCTTCCCCATAGACTATAACATCAAATCTAGTACACTATGGTGTTAGATTGTTTCACTGATTAGATGGAATGGATATTTCTTGATCAACAGATTTTAGCTAAGAATAATCTTTATTTATTAATATTCATTAATTAATTTTATATAGTTGTAATCATGATTCAATTGAAGCTAGACTACCATGGAAAACCTGAAAGTATTGAACGGCCGTTTCGTCCTATTGTGGGACACCTCAGAAGTGCGCGTCCACGATCCTGCCTCGCGAGATTCATTGTTATTATTTATGAATAACCTTTTCAATTTTAAACTCATAAATTTACCTGTTATAATTTTTGTTTTATTTCTTAATTTATTAGCTAATGAAGACATTCTTAACATTTGAACAGTTGTAGCTGGATCTAAACCATGAAAAGCTACAGCAGCCGCTGCTGCAGCTGTCAAATCAGGAATATTTTGTTTGATAGAATTTGTTGTTGTCATTGTCATTGTTACTGGTGTTGTATTTCCTATAGTTACTGTAGTTGATAATGAAGAATGTGATATAGAATTTGTTGTCATTGGTGTAAAAAATAAATCCATTTTATTATTTGTTGTATCAATTAAATTCTTAGTAAAAACATTATTTATTAAATCAAAATTTTTTATATTTCCATTATTTAATGAAGAATCGAATGAATTAAAGAGTTGAAATGTATCTGGATAGTTTGTTTGATCTCTATTATTATTACTATTACTATTATTATTATTATTGTGTGTTGACCTAAGATCTGTATATGTTGAGGGATATAAATTGTTCATACAATAAATATTCATAAGATTATCATCATTAATATAAGTATGATTATTTTGATAATGTATATTAGAAACAAATGGATGTTGTTTACTTTCTAGTTCAGCTAAGTTAGGTGACAAGTCACTAGTAAATTGATGAAATGAATTGAATGGTATATCAGATGAAACTTTTATTGAGTCTTGTTCAATATGTATTTGTGATTCTGATGGACATTTATAAGTTGTGAATAATTGTTCAATGGATCCTTTATGATTATGGTGATAATATGAAGGATGAGGATTTAGTTGTTCATGACGATTTTGATTATTTTTATGATAAGTAATAATACTATTGTCATTATGATATTGTTGTTGAAGTGTAGGAGATATTTGTTCACTTAACCAAGATCCAAAATTTGGCATTGATTTATTCCATGATGAATCAAGAGTAGACTGAAAAAGGGATGATGGTCTATAAGGTGGAAAAAAAACCAAAGAAACAGAAACCAGGATAAAATGAGACTAACCTAGAATATTTATTAACATTGTAGATCAAAGAAAGTATGATATTTTAAGATACAGTTACACTGTACTGTCATCCTTGAGCAACTGCAAAAAAGGACGGTGAGATTGTCATGTCACTTATTAATTAATTAATAAACAGTCAGTGTAAATCTAGAACATTTCACTGAAATAGTTGTGAATCACAAATAAGTGTAGGACTCTTACAAGGATCGTGATATTTTCAAGGTTTATAACCTGTATTTCCATTTAAATACTACAGAAACTAAACTTTCTAATAGAAAACGAGTTTCTCCATAGATCCCTTATGAAGCCAGAAACAGGCAATAAACGATTTTATGTTACCTTTATATGATATTCATTATGTAGTTTCTACTGATAACATTATTTATTTCCTTGATGTTTTTTTCGAAAAGAAACTAAACAATGTAGTGTATTACATTATTTAGAAGATAATGTGCTAGGGAGTTGACTCGAGCCTTTCTAGAACCTTCAATGGTTTTTTAAACCGTATTTATAATTCATTTATGTAATTTATCATCAATTTTGCTTTTATGAATTAATCTTACTACTTTATATTTAGAAACTATTCCCCTGATCAATAGATGAATGTTAGTTGGTAATCGTTTGATGGTTAAATTAAGCGGTTTAGGTAAAGTCTCAAAACCAATGATTACGATAATTATTATTATACCTTATGAATAGGAATACATTAAACCTTTATCATAGTTAATTGGATGATAGAAATTTAAACATTTAGTAGTTAATAATCATATCCTTTTTATTAAAAAGTTAAAATTATTGAAAAACTAAACTAAGTTTATTCGCGCTCAACGTATAGATTTTAATACAAAGTATTTGAATTTGTAAACAACTGGTTATTGTACACATACACTTTAACAGTTGAATTCACGAGTCAATCTAAGCTAAACCACTATTGAAACCCTGAAAGCACTGGTAGGGCATTTCTTCCTAGTATGGTACTCCTCAGCAGTGAGCATCAACGATCCCGCATGCGGGACATACATATCTATTTATTTTAATAAGAAAAATGGTTATACACTATTTATAAAACGAATTCATTGTTATTAAATTTGGAACTATGGCTCATCACTTCATTTTGTATGTAACAGATTTGATAGTAACGGAATTTTCCAGGTGAATCTGTCAGTTAACACTGCTTTACATATTTTGATCAATAATCAATTCTTATTTGCTATGTTAGTATTTGCTGAGATTAGAGGAAAAATTGTTGAATAGTTGGAGTGATAAAAATACTAACATAGTAAACTGATGTCAGCTAAATGTGGTTAATAATTAAGAGCTATGATTCAGGATTGGATCGATAATGAGTAATTTTGTAGTTTACATCATGGGCAATCAGTGAAAAACAGGAAGCTCTGGAAGGCTGTTTTGTGCTGGTGAGCACTCTTGAAGAGTTCCATACTATGATAAAACAACTAACAGTACATCTTTGTTTTCACTTGTTGTCTAAATAAAGTCCTTCCGTGATGCAAACTGTAAAAATTCAACGATATAATACCCTCTTCTATTATGAGTAAGTCTGATAGTCTGGATATCATTGTTCATCTTGACAAATAAATTGTAATTTACTTACATATGTGTTGTGCTTGCTGAATTTTGTATTATCTCTTCATTTTTCTCTTCTGCTTCACATACGGCACTTTTGTCTTCCTGTTTACAACAATTCATCATAGGTGGAACTAATGATGATGGTGATGATAACGGCATTGATAATGAACTAGTGTTAATGTTAGTAGTTTCTTTACTAAACAATCCAAAAGGGCGTTTGTTATCTGTAGGTCTGATAAACAAATGATCAGGAACATGAATTTTATTAGTAGGATCATTATTACTTAAGGGAGTTGGAATTGGTGAGTTATTAGCGTTCATTGAAAAGCTGGATATTTTAGAATTATTTATAATAAATGACAGTTGTTGATCTTTCTCTACTTCTCCGTCTTCTTCCCCACCATCCTCCTCTTCCTCATCATCATCTTCATCGTCAATGTCTTCAACATCTTCATGGCTAACTAATTTACTTATCATTGTAAATTCAGTTTCTCTTTGCGGTAAATCATTATGAACATCTTTCTTTTCTGAATATAATTTATGATGTTTATGAAGATCACTTAAAGTATTTGATAACACTGGTAATTTCTCCCATTCATTGTTTATCCAAGTGTTTGGTTTACTAACTAGTTGGTTATCTGTTGTAGTAAATGGTTAAATTTTCAAAACAAAAAACATTCAATAATCATATTTAAGAGAATGTCAATTAGAAAGTGTTAGAAACTTGAAAATTTCGTCCAGTAATAGTTTACTTGAAGTCTTATTAAATATTATAAAGACCTGAACAGATATTTCACTCTTGTTCGAGACTCTTCGAGAGTTCATTTCGACAACCCCATACAGGATGTGAACCAAGGCTATTCGGACATTGTTTCTAGTAAATGAATTATAATCCAGTTGCTCGCATTCTCAAATTTAGTCAATTCCTGATTTGGAGTAACCATCATTTAATGCCATTGGTAATAGCTGTCTTATTATCTACAATATCATTTACAGGAAGCTTGCCACTGATCAATTAACGATTTATTGATTTAATACCATAGTTCCTTTCAGGTGAATTTAATTTACATAGTTAAAATAATGAGTCAATTGAAGCTAAACCACCATAAAAAAACCTGGAAGCACTGGATGACCGTTTCGTTTTATTGTGGGACTCCTCAACAGTGCGCATCCACGATCTCGCCTCACGAGATTCGAACCCAGGACCTACCAGTCTCGCGCCAGAGCACTTAACCGATAGACCACTGAGCTGACCGGCATCCAACGGTGTTAATGTCTAACTTCAATCAATCCACGAAGTTTGAGCAACCGTTCACCAATTGTCTTCAGTCAGTTGATATCTTTACAACAGACGTGGTTGAATTCCACTGGTCACTCCTTCCATGGTGGTCTAGCTTCAATTGACTCATGATTTCAACTATGAAAATACTGAAATCTCAAAACCCCTTCTGATCTAGAATCTAATTTAAGCAGTTTCATTTTAACAGTTTTCGTTACATGGCATTTTTTCCCATATCACAAATGTTTTGAAACTAAACACGTCAGTTTTAATCATTATTTTTTATTCAGTCTTGTATAGTAGAGGTAATTACTTGAGAGAATTTTTAAGAGGACTCAAACTACTTATTGAGTATTCTGCAAATTCCATAACTTCTGTGAGATCAGTATGAAAAACTTGTCTTTCCAATCATCAGAACATTCCGAAGACTATCAACTGGGATGTGTTTTGTTTAAATATCCCTTTTTTATAATAATCAGTGTTTGACTGAAATGACTGCTTGTTTTTTATATTTAATTACTTCATTCATCAGAGATGATTGAAATAAATAGAAACGTTTAATTTTTATCAAAGAAATATTTATTTCATGATGTAAAATAAAAAAATTGAAGCTAAACCACCATGGAAAACCTGAAAACACTAGACGGCCGTTTCATCCTAGTATGGAACTCCTCCAGACCACTGACAGTTCGTGCGCAGGACCTTCGGTCCTGCGTTTGAGTAGTACGTGCTTGACTGTGGATGTTCACATCTGAGGAGTTCCATAATAGGACAAAACGGCCGTCCAGTGCTTCCAGGTTTTCCATAGTGGTCTAGTTTCAATAAACTTATGAATTCAACTATTAAAATAATCTATGTTAATAAACTAAGTATTACTATTTTTAGAATTAAATTTTCCTTTTCAGGTTTTTCATTAAATGGAATCATTTACGAATCTACCAAATTATTGATTATGTAAAAATACACTCGTTACTTATCGAATATTGATTTCAGGAAGAAAATAAGGTACAATCAGTAATAAGACGTTAGAACTATACTATTGTCGTATTTTAACAATCATTATTGGGTATTAATTGGAACAGTATTTCTAGTCCGAATATTTGTAATGTTAATAATCTAATATAAACAGAAGCATTTTGAAGATGGACAAATTGCCTTTATGCTCAAGGATACCAAACAAACAGGTTGGAACACTGATATTGTTCCTTTCAGTAACCACATTCTTATTTATGTAATATTACTATTGAAAAAAAATGATTAAAATTTTTATTCGCTGTGTAGATTGTATATAATTCAAGTGGAACGGTTTAGTAAACATAAATGATTAACAACTTAGATCAAGGATATTTCGAATTATTCTGAAGTCCCATCAACTAACGATTAGAAGCAACTAAACAATCAAGAATTTTTATAATGTCTACATCAATGAAATACTTAAAGAATTGAATATTATTCTTTCAATGGGATTAGTTTTTTTCTCTAACTCAGTGAACTTTTTCGTATTTATAACTTCATTTGGTATTGTTTTAAGAACCAGTCACTTGGAACAGGATTTCTGGGTAGCCGAGTTTGATTTTCTTATGTGGTTTAAAGTTTTCAACGTAACGATTTAAAAAGTATTTTGTCTCACTCCACTGGAGTTGAATCTTAGCTGGTAATACCAATTTGGACGTATTTTCATATAGCATTATCATGTCATAGAATATCTCAAAATGCAGGTATGATAGACTAAGTAGTAACGATTTCATATCTGTGGATCATTTGAAGTCATTTTTGAGTATCCTATAAATATTGAAGACAGAAGTGATCGAATTAAACTACGTTGACTTATCATAGTGAAAATAACTTAAGGAAAAGAAAATAGAACGATATTGATGGCATAATTTCATAATTCTTTTTTTTTAAGTAAACAATTTTTATAGCTACTTAAATTGTTTTTGAAACCATTGTTTAAGGTCGTCTATTTATCAAGGTCAGTACAAAATTTAAATAGCTATCATGAATATTGGCATTACAAGGACAATAAACAATCGCAACCAAATAACTTGAATTCCATTTAACAACGAATTGGCATATGTACATGTACGACAAATTTGTAAATGTTGAGTTGTTAAACTTTCTCCATTTAAAATGATGTATATTTTAAGACTAAATGAGTGGTCTATTTCAATATTATTGTCTCTGTATTTACCAGTGATTTTATTTTGGATTACTTAGTGCTGCAGTCAATGACTTTACCACTGAACTTTTCATGTTTCCAATTATTTTTTTATGGTACCCTATTGGGTACGTTAATCTTTTATTGTTGAGTAATCAGTATCATAGTGTGGGAACAACAATCCTGGATAAAAATATTTTATTAATAGAATTTGATACTCGTAAGTGGTAAATATGAACAATGTATAAGAATAACCAAATATTTTAATAGTGAGTGAGGACTTACAATATAAAAAACACTGCAATATCACTGACCAACAAATTCAGTAAAATTTCTGAAAATCATACAGTTTAATGATTGATCATTTATAGTTCGCTTTCAAGGTATTTCTTATTATGTTCACCAACAATTTCTTTATTTTCTGTCCTTTATAACAATATTAATGACGTTAAACACTGAGATACATTGACCCCATATGATAGTTTGCTTAACCTAGGGATTGTACAGTGCTGGTTAGTTGATAAGCGTCAATGATTACTGAGAACCGATTACTTCTACACGGAGTAGGGAATAATGATGTAGTTCAAAATGACAACAAAAGCTTCGCAGTTTAAATTATAGAACATAATATCAACCAAAGCTGATTACTGGTAGTTGGTTTGTGTGTATCATTTACTTACTAGGTTTACCTGATACTCGTTACTACAACTAATAATTAACAGTTGTTCAGAAAAAAATATTAGAAACAGATAACAACAAGATTGTGATTGAGTTGGAAATAAAACACTTATTCATTTTTAGGGCTTTAAAACAGGCAATATGGAAGATTATGATAGAACAACTTAAGATTTCATAGCCAAAAATGGTCTTTAAAAATTATTTCCACTTTCTATCAGCATTTTAACAATTGGGCATCATGTAAAACAGAGAAGACATTCTATGGGAAATTTTTAAGTTAATATTAGTTTTCATGTTGACACATGTGTGTACACTTTTAGTAGTAGGCATCAAAGTTAATATTTCAAAATATTAAAAATAATCTTTTCTTTTATTCTGTTACATCACACTTTTAAAATTAGTTGTATTGTGAATTCACTAAGTATTGTTTCTTTGAATCTTCCTATCGATTTGTTAGGACTGCAACTGGTCAGTATCTAATTAGCATACGTGCATACTGTGTGTATTGCCTCGATATAGCCTTAGTTCATAAGCATTATAAGAAAAGATGGATAATGGCTAGCAGTGGAATCCAGTTTGACGCGCGTTTCGTCCTATTTGGGACTCATCAGCTGGATGTACTTGCATCCATCAGGCTATGAGAACTTATTAGCTGAGTAGATAGCGCGATGGTATTTGAAGTGAAAGGTACTGTGTTCGAGTCTCAGAGTGAACATCAACTCTGAGATGCAGGTACATCCAGCCGACGAGTCCCAAATAGGACGAAACGCGCGTCCTGGATTCCACTACTAGCCACTATCCATTTTTGTTTATAATTAGTTGTATTTTATTCAGTGAAAACAATCACAAGAACAAACAGATTAACAATTTTTTCTGTTCGACAACTTGATGGGAGAATTTAGAAAAAAAAATGAAAGAAATTTGAACGTAACTGTAAAAAGAAATGATAACGAAGAAATTAGATACAAGTAAATATTCAGTATAAAAATCCAATTATCCATTTATTATTTAACCTAAATATTTAAGCTCACATATATAAACATATCCATATTAAAATCATAAAAAAATTTTTTGTTTCCCTTCACTAATTTCGTCGTTTATCTATAACGAGTCTCTAAGGAATATTGAATCAATCGATATTTATGACTTTGTCATTATCATCTATCGATTTTGATGACAATAATAAGAGTAATGATCATAATCTTGATGATAATAATAATGATAATATGAAAGGCTCTTTTATATTTGTTTTCTTCCCCCCCCTTAATTCTCTTGCGATGTAATAATAATGCTAATAATAATAATAATATTAGTAGTAGTAATAATAATAATAGTAATAATAATAAAAGTCATGCCAACAATGAAACTACCATGTTTTACAAGATTTTTCTTCTACTTATTTATTCATAATTTTTGGTGACAGATGTTCTATGTAAAATTAAAATGTTTATATTCAATCATAAGAGTTTACTTTACCTATCAACAATGATTGAATATTTTACATCTAACCAATAATTTATGAA